CGGTTCGTGACACCCGATCCCCTAATACTACGTGTCGGTTCGTGACACCCGATCCCCTAATTCTACGTGTCGATTCGTGGCACCCGATCCCCTAATCTCCTTCCATCAATTCTTAAGCCTTCTTTATTACCAAGGCATCATTAATCCCATTATTTTAGTTCATCACGCCTTCTTTTATACCAAGGCCTCATTATTAACAAAGAGATTAGGATTTTGCAAGATTTGGGATTCAATAACTTCATCATGCTTATATAATCATAATTATATAATTACATTCATGCAAGCATACAATTAAGCATATAGCAGGGTTTACAATATTACCAATACCTATCATTCTCTATTAAGAGTTTACTACGAATATCGTAAGAGAAACCATAACCTACCTCCACCGAAGATTCGTGATCAAGCAAGCAAATTTTCCCAAAGCTTTGTGTTTTTCCCCTTCTCGATGTCTCTCTCTCTCTATCGATTCCCTTCTCTCTCTTTCTCTTGTTCTTTCTATTTTCTTTATTCAAACACTCTTTCTTTTACCCTAATTAGTATATAATTAAGAATAAAAGATGACAATAATAGCCCACTAATTAACTTAAGGTTACCTCTTTTATCCCCCAAGAAATTGAGTTATTAATATAGACCCACAAAATATAATTATAAGCAGGACTAGTCCAAAACGCCTCTTAAAAACATTTAAAGAAATCCGACTCAGCCAGAGATTACGCAGTCTGTGACGGGCCGTCGTGCCTGCGACGGTCCGTCCTGCTGCTCCGTCACAGAGTTCAGAGACTCAATTCTCTGAAGAGTCTGTGAAGGTCCGTCACGCCTGTGACGGTCCGTCACGCCTGTGACGGTCCGTCCTGTCATTCCGTTACGAAGTTTAGAGAGTCGATTTCAGTACCTATTTTTCAGAATTTCTAAGTGTTTTGAAACGAGACACCCTCGACGGTCCGTCGTGCCCATGACGGTCCGTCGTGGGTTCCGTAGTCTCAGCTAGTTTTTCCAGAAATAAAATCTGCTGCTCAAAACGACTAAACAGGTTGTTACATTTTATTTTATTTTTGGCTTTATAATTATTGTTAATTTTATCTTATTTATTTTATATAGAAACATGATGTGGATTTTTACATCAACGGCCACGATCACTGCTTACAACGCATCGGAAGCATCGATAGGTAAAAAGACATCAATCAAATATACACAAACATATGTCAAAGTTTCATTAATTAGTTTATAAATGTCGATTTCGATTTTTGCTCGAACTAATGGATTTAAGTATTTACTTAATTAGCAAATTGGAGTTTTTAACGAGCGGAGGCGGATCTAAGGCTTGGCGGGGAGACGTTAAAGGATGGAATCAAGAGGAATTGAAATTCTATTACGATGGACAAGGATTCATGTCAATTGAATTGAACAAAAAAGAAGTGGAATTTGTGTATTATGATGTTTTTGGGAATGTGTTGCATAAATTTAGTGTGTCAAAGGACTCTTGTGTAAGTAGTCAATAGAGGTAAAAAAAACGTGGACTTGTATCATAACACGGATATCTACCCTGTCCCACGCAAATCGTTTACCTGTAACTATTCAATACCCCTACGAAAAATTGATCACATCGGAACGTTTCCGAGGCCGAATACACTTTGAATTTGATAAATGCATTGCTTGTGAAGTATGTGTGCGTGTATGTCCTATAGATTTACCCGTTGTTGATTGGAAGTTGGTGCGAATTTCTTACCCAAATTTGGAAACTACCCCTATTCCTATTTAGGGAGTTGAGGCGAAAAATGGCTTGATGAACCGTTCGCCACGCACCGGCCACATTCACTTGCTTATCGTAGAGGCTGTAAGTACACAGTGCCCCACAAGTAGGCTGCTTTTTCCGGTATTTTTTTAGTTTATTATTGATTATTTTCTTTGAAGAATCAAAGTGTATATTTGAAATATCTCAAATTAATATTATCATATTAATTTATTTTTATTTTTAGATACTTAGTAATATATTTTTTACATAGGATCTGAATAAAAATTATTGAGTTCACGTGAATTCGTAATCCAATTTCTAGGTTTGCTATTGTTTATTATAATTATTTTCTATATAATTTGGTAGAGTACGAAATCTTAGTGTAACGACCTGTTTAGTCATTTTGAGCAACAGATGTTATTTCTGGAAAACTGGCTGAGACGACGGATCCCACGACGGACCGTCATGGGCACGATGGACCGTCGTGGGGGTCTCGTTTCAAAACACTTAGAAATTCTGAAAAATGGGTATTGAAATCGACTCTCTGAACTTCATAACAGAATGGCAGGACGGACCGTCACAGGCGTGACGGACCGTCACAGACTCTTTAAGGGAATTGAGTCTCTGAACTCTATGACGGAGCAGCAGGACGGACCATCGCAGGC